ACCAAGAACCTCAAAACTGAATTCACATTATAATCTAAACTAAAGCAGGATACAAACTGCGATACACATTCACAGCCATACACACAAATACTGAAGGATGACTAGAAAAAAGTCAAGTGTTTGCCTAATGTAGCCGGCATATACAATGATTATTTTTCTTTTCATTTTTAAAAATCACTCTATAATGAAATTATATAAAATGTTCATAATAAAAAATAATACCTTCATTTTCATCTTAAGTCGTAGTGTAAAATGACATTTCTATTTCTGCTGAGTATTTTAGAGTATTAACACGGAAATCCTTGTAAGATTTAATTTAACACACCAAAAAAGCCAACAATATAAGTCGGTCTGAAAGCCAAACAACCCAACAATTCATCAGGCAACTAAAAATTAGCACTCTGAATCAGAACATAATTCTGGGAAGGAAAAGGTTTAAAGACGTCCTAGAAACAAGAAAAGAAAACTCCAGACAAAGTACAAATGACAGTTTACTTTTACCAAACAGCTTATCAAGTGATCTTTATGTAAATACTGCAAATGTTACAAAGCCCCTCAAAAAGCCCAACATTATTTTTACAGATTAGAAAAGAACAAAGGCCAAAAACAACACCAATAACTCAATTAAAATAACTCATGCTTATGTTTACATATAATTTGATGAGCATAATATATTCGTCACACCACTGCAATTATTCTCTGAAAATAATACTCTAAATATTATTTTGACAACGTAATTATAGTTCTTACCTCAAGAGCGGTAACAAAAAACTGGCACAGATACCCTGCTAAAAATCTACAAAGAGTAAGGTCCTCACAGAGAAAGTCAAAAGATAGTACAGGCACTGTATCAAGGAACAAGAACGCTTTTGAAAAGATTTGTTATTAGGTTTGAACTAACATACTATAAAATTTGTTTAAGCTTCATTGTTGAAACAAAGTTGCATTCTTGAATTCCAAATAAAATTCAGTAATATCACTGGCTGCCTTTTTCAAGAAGGTAGTGAGAAGTATCACTTCCACTTTCCCTTTTTGCCTCAGTAATGTCCTTCCAACTCTGTCAACAGACGCAAGCCATCTACTTGAAACTGATACAATTGAAAAAGAAGACCCAGATAAATGGAGAGATGTTCCCTATTCATGGACCGGAAGACTCAATATCATTAAGATGGCAGTTCTCCCCAAGTGGATCTTCAGATTCAACATAATTCCTAGTATCCACAATACATAAATAACTCTCACAACTTGACAACAAAATTTAAAAGCCCAATTAAAAACTGGGCAAAGGGGGGGCTTCCCTGGTGGCACAGTGGTTGAGAGTCCACCTGCCGATGCAGGGGACACGGGTTCGTGCCCCGGTCCGGGAAGATCCCACGCGCTGCGGAGCGGCTGGGCCCGTAAGCCATGGCCGCTGAGCCTGCGCTCCGCAACGGGAGAGGCCACAGCAGTGAGAGGCCCGCGTACCGCCAAAAAAAAAAAAAAAAAAAAAACTGGGCAAAGGGCACTTCCCCGGCAGTCCAGTGGTTAAGACTCCACACTTCCAATGCAGGAGGTGCGGGTTCGATCCCTGGTCAGGGAGCTAAGATCCCACATGCCTCACGGCCAAAAAACCAAAACACAAAACAGAAGCAATATTATAACAAATTCAATAAAGACTTTAAAAATGGTCCACGTCAAAAAAATCTTAAAAAAAAAAAAAAACTGGGCAAAGGACTTCAATAGACATTTCCCCAAAGAAGATTTACAAATAACCAAAAGGCACATGAGAAGATGTTCAACGTCATTCGTCATTAGGGAAATGCAAATCAAAACCACGATGAGATACCACTTCACACCCACCAGGATAACTATACTCCAAAAAAAGGAAAACAAATGTCAGCAAGGACGTGGAGAAACTGGAACCTTGTACACTGTTGGTGAAAATATAAAGCAGCTGCTATGGAAAAGTCTGGCAGTTTCTTAAAAATTTAAATATAAAATTGACACACCAATTCCACTCCTAGGTATACACGCAAAACAACTGAAAACAGGTCCTCAAATAAATATATGTACACACATGTTCAGAGCAGCACTATTCTAACAGTCAAACAGTGGCACAAGAGCCACATGGTGGAAACAACCCAAATGCCCATCAATGAATGAACGGATACACAAAACATGTATTCTATGCATACAATGGAATATTATTCAGTCACAAAAAGAAATGAAGCACTGATACATATACAATGTGGATGAACCTCAAAAAACATTATGCTAACTGAAAGAAGTCAGACAAAAAAGGTCACAAAATTCTATGATTCCATTTATGTGAAAAAGCCAGAACAGGCAATCCATAGAGACAGAAGGCAGAATGGTGGATGCCAGGGGCTCAGGGAACTGGGAAATGGAAAGCAACTGCTCAGTGGGTACAGGGTTCCCTTTTGGGGTGATGAGAATGTTTCCAGTTAGACAGAGGTGGTGGCTGTACAATACTGTGAATGCACTAAATGCTACTCGATTGTTCACTTCAAAGTGGTTAATTTTATGTGATGTGAATCTCGTAACAATAAAAAATGTATTAACTGATATAACTGCAACTACATAAATTGTGAACAACTCTTAATATACCTAACATAAAACAGGTCTATGAAGATCTACGCCCTCTGACTGGTCGATATCAATGAACAGCCAAGCCGCCAACCAAACAACTGATTTATTCATCAATGGCAAACCAGTTCATGAAAAGTTTCAGAAATGTGCTCCTTTGGTTTTTTTGCTAGATCATCTATTCGCTTCAGTGAAGAGAAAATTAATCCTGAGAAGAAAGGATGAAATAATCTTTCATCACATTTTGTAAACACCAAGTAACCAATCTTCTGTAGCAGCTGTGGGATAAAGACAAGGGATACTGGACCGAGCGGGACACAGAGTCAAGGGAAGACACTTTTAAGTGGAAAACAGGAGAGCACATTATACGCTGGTGAAATGACAGAGTAAAGAGGGGAAAGGGATGATGCCGGAGAGAAAGGGGACACTTTCAGGGGAAGAGTTTCTGAGTGGGCGAGTGGGGATGGGATTCTATGCACAGGTGGAGGAGGGCTGGCTCCGCTCTGACAGTTATTTACTCACAGCGTTTGTGCAGTGCTTCCTCTGGTGTCTTATTTAGGAATCCACCATTACCAGAGAAACCTACTCCTGACCACCCTAGTTCCTCAGCTCTGTCAGTGACACACTACCCACCACATCGGTGTTTTTTCCAGCAATTATAAAACGTAGTACATTCTGAACTCTCTTTCTGAATTATCATACCACAGTCAGACTTCAAAAATAACTGCTTTTCCATACAAGAGAGTGAAATCTGTATTTTACTGCTGGTTTTTAACCCCCAATGTGAGCACTGAGGCTTCTGTTTTATCACAAAATGGAGCTACAAGAATACTTTTAAATATACAACATTTTAAAACACTTTACAACCTAATGCTACACCCTACCAAATTGAGAATACTAAAGAAATTATTGCTGTTCCAAAAAACTTAGAGCCAACACTTTGTGTGCCAATTCTTAGATAATTTAATTAGTTCAAAAAATAATTACAATGTCCCAGAGGAAGAATCCTAAATCAAATAGAAAGACACAGGAATTTTAACAAATGAGTTTTAAATGAAAACACTAAGAAATCACAGAGTAGAATGAGAACTAAACTAAGCTGGGTGGTACCTCTGACAGTTCAGTTAGCCTGTTTCACTGTGGGCCTCGGTCTCTATGCCTCTGAAGAAAGACGATCAGCTCAAATTCTCTCTCTACCTTCTCAAAGCAGCCTCCCCACTAACATTCAGATACGCATGCTTCACTTTATACAGTAAGTATAGGCATTAAGAATTGTATATAAGTCAACATTTTAAATACAGCTGGAGAGCTCTCATTTGAAGTAACTATTCATTGAATTAGCACTAAAAAAATTTCTTTTAACCTCCAATCTAGTACATTTTATAAGCTGGATATTTACATTGAGATGTTCTATTAAATGACTTAGGTTTACCCACAAGTATTTCAATTCCTTGGATAAAGAGATCACCTGTTAAAATTATATGTTTTTATTTTTAAATATAATGGTATGATAATAACCTCTGTCCAAAGAAGTGTTGATGCAAGTAGTTCAAGAACCAAAAACATTCCAAAAAGTCTGGAAAAGCTGCCTGGTCTTCAAATTAAGGAGCTCGGCTTTTCTCTTAATCCCATACCAACAGCTATTAACACTCAGAGCTAACTTCCCTCTGTGTCATGCTGTATATTTGCCTTATTTAATATACTTAATACAAGGCTCCCCTCACTGGAACGTACACATCTGAGGACAGAGATTTTTGACTGCTTTGGTCCCTGTTCAGATCACATGCAACACCGAGAATAGGGCCTGCCACATCGACACATATTAAAAGACACAGTAACACTTTGCTAGGGCTGCCATAACGAAGTACCACAGACTGGGTGCCTTAAACAAGAAAAATGTGTTTTCTGTTTTGAAGCTAGAAGTCTGAGGTCAAGGCGTCGGCAGGACTGACTGCTTCTGAGGCCTCCCTCCTTGGTTTGCAGGTGGTCGTCTTCTCCCTGTGTCTTCACATGGTTGTCCCTCTGCACCTGTGTCCTCATCTCTTCTTATAAGGACACCAGTGACACTCGATTAGGGTCTACCCGTATGACCTCATTTTACCTTAATTATCTCTTTAAAGGCCCTGTCTCCAAATATAATCACATTCTGAAGTATACTAGGGGTTAGGACTTCAACATATGAATTGGGGGAGGCGGGGTGGGTGGAACACACACAATTTAGCCCACAACAGAGGGAGAAAATTGGAAGTCACTACAACTTTCTTCTATGATGATTCTTTAATATCACTAATGAAGTTTCTCTGTATCATGAAATACAGAACCATCTGCTTTAATGAATGATGTAATACTCAGAGTACTGGTATTTAAATCCTTTTCAAAGATATAAGTAATCCATGAATCATACTGCAAATTACCTGTCAACAGGGATTCCTGTTCCACTCGAAGTTCACGAAAAAGAAGAATCAAATCAACAGCAACACCAATTGTATCCAAGTTCCTGTATAAGGTTTTTAAAAAGGACAAAGTTAGACACACTCTTTTTCTTAAACCTGCACTTCAAATTATGATCCACAATGAATGCGGAGACTACCGGTTAACAGTTCCTGTAGTGGGCAGAATAATGGCCCTCCAAGGTATCCACATCTTAATACCCAAAACCTGTGAATATGTTACCTTACATGGCAAAGGGGACTTTTACAGTCGTGAATAAATTAAGGACCTTGAGATGAAAGGACTATCCTGGATTATTAACCAGGCGGGCCCAATGTGTCACACGGGTCCTTGTAAGAGGAATACTAGAGGGTCAGGGAGGGCAGCCATGAGCCAAGGAGTGCAGGCAGCCTCTACAAGCTGGAAAAGGCAAGGAAAATGATTCTCCCCTAGAGCCTCCAAAAGGGGTTCAGCCATGTTGGCCCACTGTGGACTTCTGAATTTCAGAACTGTAAGATAATAAATGTGTTATTTTAAGCCACTACGTTTTTAGTCATTTGTCAAGTAGCAACAAGACAGTACTGTGGGTAGGAGAAATGGGGTGCTGCTGTAACACACAGATACGTGGACGTGGCTCTGGGATCTGGCAATGGGCAGAGGCTGGAAGAATTTTGAGAAGCGTGACAGAAAAGGCCTAGATGCCTTGAATAGAAACGTGGACACTGAAGGCACTGCTGGTGAGATCTCAGAAGAAAATGAGGAACTCGTTACTGGAGACTGGGCGGAAGAATCCTTTTTCTCCAGCGGCAAGAGCTGAGCAGAACGATGAACCTGGGTATTTAGCTGAGCAGATTTCCAAGCAACACGTTGAAGGCGTGGCCTGACTTCCTCTTGGTGTGTATGGTAAAATGCGAGAGGCGAGAGACAGAGGAGACTAAAAGGGAACCAGGTATGATTTGGGAAATTCTCAGTCTATCCGGATTGCAAAAGACGCTAAAACTAGACTATTCACTGTGAGGAAACTGTGCTCTGGAGAGAAAGCCAAGGATGTGGCTGGATGACCTTTTGCTAATGTCTTGGAAGAACCAAAAGGTTGGTGTTCAGTTACACAGAGGGCTCTTTAAAGAGACTAGGAGTGTTACTCATTCCCCTCAGTGATCTCAGCAGAAATCAGGAATAGAGGTGGGGTTATCTAAGAAAGCTCTATGGCAGACCCTAGATTGCTTAATGGTATATAACTCCCCGTGACATACACGTGAGACCCACAAGGTTTTTGAGAATGTTATACCAGTAGAAACTCTGCCAACCTGGATGAAATGCACAGAGAAAGGATGAAATGAAAGAAGGCTGTTAAACTCCCAAAATCCCACAGGCAGGAAAGAGGCTGATAAAGTTACTCAGCTGAAAACATGTATGACTCTTACCCTTTGAGAAAAAGGAAGGATGACTCTGAGGGTAGGACTAAGGGCAGAGCCCCAAGCCACAGAGGATCATTCCCAGGCCTCAAAACCTGAGTTTGCCCAACTGGATTCTGAAATTGCTTGGGACCAGTGACTCCCTTTTACCTCAATTTCCTCCTCTTTTAGAGGGTCATGTCTAAAGCTGTTACCCTAGGCCTGTCGTACCACTGTATTTTGGGAGCAGACAACGTCGTGTCTAGTTTTGAGATAAAGATAAAGAGGAATTTTGCTTCAGGATGAATCACATCCAGAGTCTCACCCAGATGTAATTTAGGTGCTAAGATTTGGGACTTTTTAGCTAATGAGACTTAGATGAGACTTGGGGCTTGAGTTGATGCTGAACGGGTCGAGAATGTGGGGGACCTTGAGACGAGATGAATGTATTTTGCAAATAGGACAGACATGAATCTTTAGGGGCCAAAGGGTAGACTGCGCTAGGCAAAATAATGGCCCCCTAAAGATGTCCACATACTAAACTCTGGAAACTGAATATATTACCTTACATGGCAAAGAGATGTGATGTAATCAATTTATATTTGATCCAGTTTCTGGCACAGAGCTCCTAAAACCCTTGGAAGTTCCTGTGTGAGAGGAAGGCCTTTTGTTATTCGTAACAAGCCCCTTTCAACCATACCTGAGCTTATGCTAAAGAGGGGACTCTTCCTGGGCCTGCAGGATGGGAGGTGGCTGCCAGAGGGACCAGCGCTAAGATCAGACAGCTGGAACCTTCAACCCCAACCTCCTGCCTCTGAGGAAGGGAAGGCAGCTCAATGGCCGGTGATTTAATCAATCACACCCTGTGACGGAACTTCCACAAAAGTCCCAAACAATGAGTTTGGAAAGCTTCTGACTGGGCTGATGAGCACATCAAAGTGCTCAGAAGATGGCATGCCTGGAGAGGGCGCAGAAGCCCCATCCTATGCATCTCTTCCAGGTGGCTGTCCCTCTACAGTACACTAGGAACGGAATGTAAAGTGCTACCCTGAGTTCTGTGAGTCGTTCTACTGAATTATCAAACCTGAGAGGTGTCCTGGGAACCCCTGCATTTGTAGTCAGCTGGGCAGAAATGTAGCCTGGGTACCCCATTTGCAGCTGGCATCCAAGGTGGGGCAGTCTTGTGGGACTGAGTCATGAAGTTACGGGATCTGAAGCCACTAACTTGAGGTAGTTAGTGTCGGAATGGAACTGAATTGTTGGACTGCTGGCTGTTTTTGGAGAATAAGAACTGGTCAGAAAATACCACAAGAGACTTTCTAGGAGTGATTAAATTAATGGTTTGAAGATGGGAAGATTATCCTGAATCACCTGGGTGGGCCTCATGTAACCATAATGGTCCTTATCAGAGGGATGCCATATGGTCAGAGTCAGAAAGAGACTGGAAGAGGTTACAGTGTTGCTCTGAGGTAAAGGAATGCAGGCAGCCTCAGGAAGCTAGAAAAGCCAAAGGAATCAATTCTCTGCTAGAGACTCCAGAAGGAACCAGCCCTGCTGACACTAACTTTAGGTCAGGAAAACTGATTTTGGACTTCTGACCTCCAGAACTGTCAGATAGTAAATCTCTGTTATTTTAAGCTACTGAATTTGCAGTACTTTGTTACAGCAGCAAAGGAAACTCATACAGCTCCCTACCTTCTTCACTTCTTCTCAACATAAATCAGAATTATACCAAGACATTCACTGCTAAAGAAGAGGGTCAGGGTCGGTGTGCACAAGGCTAGAGTCCTCTCTCCCCTCCCCAAGGCCAGGTGGGCAGACAGCCATTGCTCCTTTCCTCTTTATCCGAACACAAGACTGGTGGGAAAAGGGGCTCAGCACCTGCCTCTGAAAAGAAGATGCTGTTCCACCTCTGTTCCTCCTCTTGCCTCTACATATATGAATGGCTGCCAGGCACCTGGGCCCACTGCCTGCTTCTGTATGGCCAGATTTGGTGGGGGGAGAAAAATGTAACTTCATGACAAGAAAATTCTATGAAATTCAAAGTTCCGTGTTCACAAATGAGGTTTTACTGGAACACAGTATGTGCGTTTGTTCACGTACTACATATGGCTCCCTTCTACTACAATGGGAGAAGTGAGCCCCTCTGACAGAGATCACAAAGCCTGAACTATTTATCTGGCTCTCTGCAGTAAAAGTATAGCGACCCCAGCAACAGGCATTGTATTTACATGCAGAGCTAACTGCTTTCAACAGTCTTCTTTGAGTCCTTCCTGAAATTCCACATGACTCAGACTGTTTGCTTTGCTGTATCATACCCCATGTTCCATACATCCTTGGCAAAAAATAATTCCAGTCCATACAAAGTGCAATGTTCAGACAAAAGATGTAAAAAGGTCTAGGCCTTAATAGCATCCTACTTTTTAATTAACTCTTTAATAACTGAAAAAATCAGAAAAATACATACTGGTTGAGATCTGAATCTTGACAGGCTCGGGAATATCAGCTTTAGTTAAGGTTGACCTCAAAGTCCCTACCAGAATCTTTGTTGTCTTTCTGACTACAAAAATGTTTTTCCCAGGAGCTGATGCCCTGAATGGTTAGAATTTCCATTCTAGGGCTCTCCTTTCCCTCTCCCATCACACTAGAGGGCCTCCCTGCCTAGAAAGGGACAAAATAATCTAGCCTCTGGCCTGCTGCTTCTAGCTGCTTCTAGTTATACTTTTTCAATGTTAACTATTACTACCAAGATCATTACTGTTTCTATCCATTTATCTGTATAGGGACGCCATGTTCAATTTTGTGCTGAAGTTAAACAACTCTCTCTTTTGATTCCCTCTCCTTTGATCTAAAAAAACCTCATTAATCATATCAAAGCCTCAGGTATAGACCGTCTAGGCAGCACAGGGAGTCTCTCCATCAGCTTCTGGGCTAGCCCGACTTCACTCATCATGGCAGTAACAGGGAGCCCGGGGGCTCTGTCTACATTCAAGTCCAGGAAATAAAAGTGAGCATGCTTTGTGGCTTCTAACTTCATCTCAAGTAAAAATTGTTAATAAAAAGCAGATTGCATAAAATCAAAGAGGAAGGGTGCTCAGTTCTGGGAGGAGAGTGTAACATGTAGAAGAACAAGAGCAGGACAGGGCAATTCTCTTGCTCATCTTGGTAACCACATTTTAGTTGTATATTATAAATTAGGTGGCAGCAGCTGGCAACTTTACACAATCTTAAGGAACGCTTAAGATAAACAGTCTTAGAAATTCACATCGTGCTCCCTGTTTGAAGTAAACACAAGGGCAACTAATTAAAACACTAAAACTAATTAAAACACCTACAACTAAGAAAAGTGAAGTCCAGAACTGCAAATGTATTTAGGCAGGCAGAATCTAGAATCAAAGAATCAAAATTAAGTTCAAATCATTGTGTTATGTAAAAAACCAAATCCCTCAAAACATCATAAATACAAGTGAGAAACCTGAATGACCCCTAACGTTACACATGTTGTCCCATGACATACACACCAGGAGTCTCCCACAGCAAGTCCTGCAGAGCACCTGTCCCTGGAGACGGAGAGTCTCCTAATAAACACAGGTGACTGCGATGCCAAAACCATCTCTAACAGGTAGGCCAACGTGACAGAAGCAGCATGCACGCACACAAAGAGATATTATCAAAGGCATATATGTAACTACAAAGAATAGTACCTGATTGAATTTTGGTTCACAGAACACTCAATACAAGCATTCCGGAGACACCGGAAGCACTCCGTTATTAACTGCAGACTGGAAGCCAGATGTTCCACTTGGGATGGGTCTCTGCAGGCCAGCTCAACTGCATGAGAAGATTTCTTTAAGATATCCAGGACTCTTTGGAAAATAGTCCTGGGTGCTGTTTCTCTGAAAAAGGATAAAATTGTTACAAACCAGAAAAAAAAGAAAAAGACATTTCCAAATGTCCTTTTCAGAACACTGCTGGTACTTAATTTTGTGGGGAGGCAAGCTAGGCCTATCTGTTCCAGCTCCTTAGTTTACGACACAAAAGAGCTGTGTACACTGAGCGCTTCGCCAAGGCACTGCTCTTATCAACCTGTCCCTGTATTACCTCATTTAACCTTTGCATTAACCTTATGAAGCCAATACTGTCCTCTCCGTTTTAAAGACAAGACACCCGACACAGCAGGGTCTGTGCAACTCGCCCACGCCCCTCAGCTAATAACCTGTGGAGCCACAATTCCAACGGAAGCAGTCGGATTTCCACCCCCACGACGACCCGAACCCCCGTTTACGGTGACTGTTTATGGTTATGGGTCTGCCCCTAGTCAAACCAGAATATCTGCATCCCACGTTCTAGACAGAGAATATAACCATGTCCTCTGTCACCCAGTGTGCGCCTGAAGTAAAGTTATGAGAAAGGATCCTCACGAAGGACTGCCTGGGGGGCAGAGCCCCTACCCATTCTTAGATAGAGGAGCCAGAAGCAGTGCTCTGAGCTTACACACGTTCAACCACAAAGATAGGGAGCCGGAGGAGCAGGAAGGAGGGAAGGAGACAGACAGAAGCAGAGGGAGACGGACAGAGAGAGAGAGCGAGCTCGCTTCCAGGCAGAGTGTGTGCCCGGGGCAGGGGATGAACCTGTGGCTGTTCACCCCGCCCCACCCACAACTGGGCACCTCAGTTCCCACGGCCTCTCACGCCAGGAGCACTGCCCGCACTGGCTCTCATTCCACAGCTATGAAGAGAAGGATTTCTGTGTGCAGCACGGCACCTAAATGCAAGCCCATTTCCTCATTCCGTGAATCCCCTAAAGAAACAAGAATCCGCTTTAATGTCAGAAGAAAAACTGCTGTTAGACAACTGAAGAGACTCTTACAAGATAAGTCCTGACCATAGGAATTTTCTCCCTGTGCTCGCACTGTGGAATCCCAGCACCCTACATTCACCCCCTGGATGAACTGAAGCCAGACCACCGGGGAGCACGCATTCCTCCAGAAGCCCGGCCACTGAAGCGCCCCAAGCGGCTGTGCTTGCTCGGGGGCCTGGGAGACACTCCCTCCACGAGCTTCAGGACCATAAATACTTGTACTCCAAGTGTCGCCTTTTTATCTTAAGGATGGATGATATAAATCACTTTATTTATCACGTTCTCCTCTGTCTTTGCCTTTAAGAAGCCTGGAGTCAAACCCACGACCCATCTTTAACACTATGAATCCCTCAGCATGACTTCTGAGTACTAACCTTATTTCTGGCTTTTCCCTCCCCTCCAATTTCCTCCCTTACCTTTATTTTATCTAACTGTATTTATTTTTTAAGGCATGTCAGATTTGTTTTTGGAAAGAGGCAGAATATAATCAATTAAAAATTGGGAAATCGTGCATAAAATAATCTGCCCCACCTCCCCCCGTTGGCCCTCTCTAAATGGGGATCATGAAGCTTTGACTCAGGGTCGCAGCAATTAAGCGACCAAATAAAAAAGCCAAAGTTCAAAGGTGCAGCATTAGTCCTGCCTCAGAAACTGTATAAAACAATGGAGTGCGTAAGCCACTTTCAGTGACAATATGACAAAAAGGAGATTCACTAACACTCTCAGGACAGCTTTAAGGAGAAGTGGGTGCTGCTGGGGAGAAGGCAATTCCCACTCTACCCCAAGAGCTCTTGCCACTGGACTAATAATAAAATTGACAGACATGCAGGAGAAAAAGAAATTCTAATTCGTGTGCATGGAGGTCTCATAGAAATGGGACCTAAAAAATGTGCCACAGCAGGCGGCTTTTATACTTTTTAGACAAAGAAACACTAAATTTCTGAGGAATTGACTGAACAAAGAAACTTAGGCTTTGGGTGCTTAGTGAAGAATCTAAGGAGAGTCTGGACTTGGGGTAGTACGTTATAGAGGAAACAAGGTTTGTTTATATAGGCTTCTTGGCCCCAAATTCACCTCTGGGGATAAGGCTGTCCTTCTGACTCCAGATGCAGGGAGGGTACCTCTCACACGGAGATTTACTGCCTGCTTTCAACAGAGAGGAGGCTCAGAGCGTCCCTCTTGCACTGGCTTTTTCTTAAGTAACTTTAATTAAAAAAAAATCAATATGCCACTGAGGCTTATTTGGGGGAGGCGTGCTCTGGGCTCGAACAATACTAAATATAGTGCAGGCACTATTAACACGCTAAGAAAGTACCTATGGGTTTAAAACATTCTGAAGAATGCCAAGAGTGATCATGATTTCTACAACAAAGAATAAACCTAATTACCTCTATCTGCCCCACCTGCATAAAGTTTTGATGACATTTATTACTTAATCTTATAGTCAAGTAAAAGTAGAGCTCTAGAACTCCAATAATCTACAATAAAGCCTCTTTTTTCTTTTCTCCTACGATGACTAAGAAATGTGTGTTTATACCTGAGGTAAAGAAGCCAGTATGATTTCTTTCAGCGGGTCCTTCACAAGCTCCCTCTCTCATGGGCACCACCTTCCTACTGTGAATGGTCTTCTCTGATGTCACTCTTTGAAATCTTAACCGCTGCTTCACTCAAAACTGACATCTAGCACAGCAAAGGCTTTGAAATCAAACTATAATAGACAACACAAAATAACAGCACTGTTCTTAGGAAAACTGGCTAACTGATATGCCGACCATAGAACAATTAGTAAGTTCATGAACCACCCTAAATAATTTCCAATGTTACATGTTAATTTGTCACATATACACCATGCCTTTCTCCTTCATTACACTTTTAACCAAAAGAAAAATGTTTACCTGAACTACGGCCAACCAAAAGATTCCTGAAACACAAGTAACTATTAATAGCTACTAAAGAGTAATCACAGCAACATCTATCGGCATACAACAGTTCACATACGCAGTATAAAGAGAAAATAAATTGGGATTGTGATCACTGTCATTTGTCCTCCCCATGGATTCCTGAAACCAGCAAGCACTGGCAATCCTCTGGGTCTGTTCACATGTATGCCCTCCCCCAGAATCCCTCTCACACCACCCCCAACCAAGCCTCTGCCTGGAAGAATCTGGGGGCTCCTTTCAGGCCTCTGAAAACTCACAGCCCTGGTGAGACTCCTCTGCTACTCAGAGTACTCAGGGGAGCCGCATCCCATCTCTATGCGCCCCTGGAGCTCGGTCCATAGAATGGAATTGCACTTACCCACATCAGATTACATTCACTGATGCGGTCTATCACCCCAGCTAGACTATAAATCCCAGAAAAATAGAGACTACCTTATTTTTTTCTGTATCTCTAGGGCCCAGACCTGCATTCACTAATTGCATTTGTTCAATTCAAGTTTAAAACAGTGATGAGACTATTCGCGTATTCAGAGCGGGATCTAACTGCTTCACAGACTTGTCAGGTAACTCATGTACTTGAGCATGTGCCGTGAGCCAGGCACCAGGCCTGATGGGAGCAGTGAAATCAGTGTACTTTGCAGCAGCAACTGGAAAAAGGGAAACACTGAGGAACTAGCTCAACTCGTCCATTCCCATTAAGAAATGCACACATCCTGGACCCAAAAATTTGAAAAAAAAGGTCATATCTTAAGATGTTGATATCTTATAATTGGTATTTAAGAAACATCTAATTTCTCCTTCCCCACTGAATGATAAGCTTACCCATTGAATGGGTAAGCTTAAAGGGGGAGGGAGAGGTGAGGGGTTGTAACTCAATTAACTACATTTTAAATTTCTTGAAAGCAGAGACTATTTCTTTTTTTTCTTTTTTTTTTTTTTGCAGTACGCGGGCCTCTCACTGTTTTGGCCTCTCCCGTTGCGGAGCACAGGCTCCGGATGCACAGGCTCAGCGGCCATGGCTCACGGGCCCAGCCGCTCCGCAGCATGTGGGATCTTCCCGGACCGGGGCATGAACCCATGTCCGCTGCATCGGCAGGCGGACTCTCAACCACTGCGCCACCAGGGAAGCCCAGCAGAGACTATTTCTTAGAGTCTGTACCCCTCTATAAAGGGTGAATGGAAAAAAAAAAAAAACCTTTTCCTCTAGAGCCATATAATAAATATCTACAGATTTTATTCACCATATTTTTATACAATATAATAAATTAACAACTTTCATCAGATGAGGACAAAAAAAGCTTTTCATTAACAGTAACTACTATGAAAACATTTAACTCTCTTCTGTACCTCTTTACCTTCTCCACAGCCTTGAAAGAAAGCTATTTGGCATTACAGATCCAAAGGAGTCCTAATGTACTGTCTGCAAATTCCATGTTCACTGTCAAGACAGCACAGCTAAGTATGTGTAATGATTAACAACAGTGAAATAACCAGTAAAGATCAGTCAATCGTTTGTATATTACAAATGTTAATAATAAAAATTGCTGTCATTTCTGCTTTAACCAAACTAACACAAAATATTCACAAAGACTTTAAGAAGCTTAGCTACTTCATTCACAGAAGGCCGAAAGTACTTAGAAGGACAATTAAAATTCAACCATTAGACATTCCTTTTACATAGGAATGAATGTATACTCTGAAGACAACTTATAAATGAAATGTTACATTACAGAACAAAAACAGCCTTTGAATTATACAAAAGGTAGAACTGCACTTCCTTCAAGTTTGAACAGATCTGTAGGTTTAATCCTGACAAGTCCTGTTTGAATAAAATTAAAGAAAACTACCGGTGATTACAGCACAGGTTAGATAGGCCTAACATACCATCCGTACTCACATCTTACAGTCAGTTCATGAGGCGGGACCTCCTTCTGAAAAGGAGACTAAACTGTTCGTCATTTAACACTACGACTAAGACTTACATCCTGGTTGAAAGATTCATTCTAATACCCAACATTTAATTAAAAATTGGCACATGTGGTTTAGACTAGTTTAACCACTGTCACTGAGAAAAACTATTAGAATATACACAAGTT